GTGTACCACCACCACCCGACTTTTTTTTTTAAGGTTTATTTATTTATTTTTTTATTATGTATAGTGTTCTGTCTACATGTATACCTGCAGGCCAGAAGAGGGCACCAGATCTCAGATGGTTGTGAGTCACCATGTGGTTGTTGGACTCAGGACCCTTGGAAGAGCAGACAGTACTCTTAATCTCCGAGCCTTCTCTCCAGCCCTCTATTGGTGTAGGTTTGTAATCTCAGCACTCAGGAAGCTGAGGCAAGAGAAAGGTGAAATCAAAGCCAACCTGTCCTACACTGCTACACAGTGAGACCTGTCTCAAAGGCAGACTAACTCCGGGGAAAGTGTCTCTAATGAGTGGGATACAGCCGTTTGTTTCTGGGCGGGCAGTCACATAGTGCCATCAGGCTAGGGCTGGTTGTCACATCCTGGTTTCAGTATCTTGTGTGATGTTTTACTCTTTTGGCTTTTTGGAGGGCCCGCCACCCAGCTCCCAGATCGCACAAATACTCTACCACTATACCCTGTCCCAAACATAAGTAAACAAATCTAAAAAATAGAAGTAAATATTCTGTACTGAGCTCCATCCTTAGCCCTACAAGATGTTTTCTTATGGCATACTGAACTCTTTGCAGACATGTGCTTACTTCTTACTTTGCAGTGTTGTATGACAGAACTTTGCCTGGGGAGACACAACATGCATACATGTCTACTTACCCCAGATAGGGAACCCGTAACAGACCAAAGTATGGATATTAACAGAGTCCAACTTGGCTTTATTAGATTACTTGCAGGAGTATAGGTGAGGGGTTACTTATAGGAGCAGAAATGATCAAAAGACAGCTGCATCACCAAAGCCAACAATAGCCTGGGTGAGGGTTCACAGGAAACCTGGAGCACACTCCACAGCCTGCAGGCAGCTCAAGAGGCTGGAGAGTGTCCTTCCCAGGTGCCTCAGTTGGTCTAAACATCTTCCAGGTAGCTGGTCTGATCTGAGAGTCTTCTTTGCAGCTCAGCATCCTTCTGAGAGACTATCTCAAGCAGGGAAAAGGCCTAGTGAGTCTGGTTATTTTCAGAAGCTATTCTGAGTTACCTTCCTGCTTAAGGAGCTTCCTACAGGATGGAATGGGATTTTTTGGTGTTTTCATTTTTGTTTTTCAAGATAGGATTTCTCTGTAGCTTTAGAGCCTATCCTGGAACTCGCTCTGTAGACCAGGCTGGCTTTGAACTCACAGAGAACCACCTGTCTGCCTCCAGAGTGCTGGGATTAAAAGCGTGTGCAGCTGGTCAGCTGGTTTTCAATCTACCCTTCAGACCCTCAACTACACTCACAAAACTGGACTTTCTGCATGCATGCAAATGCTCAATCACTAAACGCCACACCAGAGAACAATTTTAGCTTACTGCATTGGTACTTTCAATGTTCCGGCTCGAGGGGAAGGCTTCCCCAATGGAAGTGTTACAGCTCTGTCCTGAGAGGAAAGGTTTTAAAGGGGCACTAGCCCACTTGAGCATGTGCCTCTGGCAGACCTTGTTCTCTCCATTCCCTCTGCTTTGCTAAAAACTGTTAGATTACATTCCTAAAGCTAGCCACTAAGGTTTTCCTCCTGGTCACTTCCTCCTCCTGAGGAAAGTCCAGCAATCGAAAGCCCCCTTTGGTTAACCTAATTAACATGTCCAATTAAAGTTAACACCTCATCCTAACACGGGTTTCCCCTTTACCTTTATAAACTGTCATTTGCCTGTGTGCCACATCTGTTTCCTCTCCATCCAGAGGCAGCCCTTTGTCCCTCCAGGACAAATACTCCTACCCTCTTTCCTTATTGCCTTCCCCTTCTCCTTCATCCCCTAACTCCTTAACCACCACATCCTAGCTCATCATAGCACGTAACACATAACCTCCCCTCTTCTTTCTCGTAAAAATTACACCTGCAAGGTCATTTGCTGCTGTTTTGTGCGTAAGTCAGAGATCAGCCACTTTAACTTTTCCCCCCACTTAATAAAGGATCTCTGTAAGAAAACAGGTGTTTGGATGTGGTTTGTGCTTAACCCGGGGTCTGGGAGGAAGCCGCTGCTGTTGTGTGTGTGTGTGTGGGGGGGGTGTCTCTTTCAGGCTTCTCCAACAGAAGTGTTACAGCTTTCCTCGGTGGGGAAAGATTTCCCCAATACAAGTTTGGCAGCTCTGTGGGAATTCCCATGCCCACATTACAGCTTGGAAGGCTTCTCCAATGGAGCTATTGCAGCTCTGAGGGGAAGGTTTCCCCTATGAAAGTGTTGCAGCTCTGAGGGGGAAGGCTTCCTGGCAGTTTTGAGCCAAGGAGTAACACAAAGTCACACAGCACAACAAACCTCACACATGGTTTATTGGGAGAAATACAAGAGGGTTATTGCCTCTGCTCAAGTGAGAAGCAGCAGGGAACTGAGCAGGAGACAGGTTTATATAGGAAGGAGGAGATTTCCAGGGTGAGAACTGGTGAGATTTAAAGCCAAGCCCAGGGATAGGTGGAATGTTTAGCTAAGGGATTGATGTTTTTTCATGCTCTCTGAGATTGGTGGGTTTTGATAGGTTTTCAAACCTGGAAGTGGGCTCAGACCTTAACAGGTACAGGGAGAGGTGTACAAACCTACCAGGAGAAATAATTTATTACTAGGCTGTGCGAACTCCAAAGTTAGTGATTTAAAAAACTAGCTGGGCGGGGAATTAACCTAAAGCAGCTGGGTGTGTTGGTACGTGCCTTGAATCTCAGTGCTTGAGAGGAAAAGGCAGGAGGACCTCCGAGTTTGAGGTCAACCTGGTCCACATAAAGGAACCATTCAAGCTGTAAAACTCAGCCACATACCACTGTAATGGCTAAAGTTATGTTGATAACTAACAATTTTTTTTTTGTTTTGCTTTGTTTTGTTTTTCGAGACAGGGTTTCTCTGTAGCTTTGGAGCCTATCCCGAAACTTGCTCTGTATGCCAGGCTTGCCTCAAACTCAAAAATTCGCCTGTCTCTGTCTTCCAAATGCTGGGATTAAAGGCATGCTCTGCTGCTAAAGTTAAGTTTAAAATTTTTAAATTTCTGTGCTTAAGAGAACTATAAAGCAAAGTTAATTAGACTTCCAAAAGTTAAGGGCTGTTAAGGGTTAATTGTTTACTGCTGTTTCAGCTTCTGTAATAAATACTTGTTTTGGACAAGGGGACCTTCTGGTCACATTAGAACAGAATATAACCTTGTATTCTTTGCCTTCAAAAACTCCTGGCTGAGTTGGCTGGGGCTGCATTCAGGAATGAGTACCAGGTATAGAGCTAGTTTAGCACTAGTGTCTCTTTGAGCTGGGAGTTGGTGGCACACGCCTTTAATCCCAGCACTAGGGAGGCAGAGGTAGGAGGATCTCTGAGTTTGAGGTCAGCCTGGGGTACAGAGGGAGTTCCAGAACAGCCAGTGTTACATAGAAAAACCCTTCTTCAGAAACCAAAACAAACAAAGCCTCTTCTTTCTTAAAATTTATTTAACTAACCATACTAACCTTACTTTTTGGCTTCTGTAGTTCTGATTCTAGCTAACTGTTCTTGTTAACTGAAATATGTTAACCCAGAATATGTTTTGTTGTTGTTGTTGTTGTTTTGCTTAAAATCTCACCCTGAGAAAGGCTTGGTGCTACACTGGGTTCCTGAACACCCAGTGTAGTCACTGGCTGACTAAAGACTCTACTTCTATGTCCAAGCAGTCTTCTCTGGTGGATAACCCACAACACTAGGACAGGAAGGACTACATAGAAAGGTCCTATCACAAGCAAACAAAAACAAAGAGGTTGAGGCAGGAGTGTAATGGTCTGTCCTGTCCCTTTAAGAGACAAGCCCAACTCCTCAGCACTTCTCATCCCGGCCCACTACCCTAAACCTCTCCACCACTGAGCTTCCCTTCCCTCCCCTTAGTCTCTCTTTTCCTATAAGACCCAGTCATTGTGACTAGGCCTCTCTTGGCCTCTTGATTCTCTCTGCCCTGGGGGTCTTCTTTTGTCTCCCTCTCTCTTCCTCTCTTGCTCTGCCCCTCTCTCTTTCACTCATGGCTCAGTCTGTTCTGCTGGCCATGCTCACTATGGCCTCTGTTAGATGCCTCTGGTTGTGCTTTCCCTTACATCTATAATAAAAACCTCAAATTTCATTTGTTTTACATCTTTTGTTAGATCGACTTCAGGTAATCCATGTTTCCCATGCTGTACTAGTGTATAGTGTAATGTCTTTATTATTTCCTTAAAATTCCAGATGCAACCAGGTGGTAGTGGCACACACCTTAAGTCCCAGCACTGGAGAGGCAGAGGGAGGATTTCCCAGTTCACCCTGTAACCTGGCACTTGTGATTTTTGTGTTTAAATACTTGCTTCAGTAGGCATGTGGGATCACGGTTCTGTGGCCCTGATCTATCAACCCCCTTTTTATCCCCCTTCTTGCTGCCCTATATTCAATTTTTTAAAAGCTTTCTTTCTTTCTTTCTTTCTTTCTTTCTTTCTTTCTGTATACAATGTTTTGTCTGCATGTATGTCTGCACACCAGAAGAGGGCACCAGATTCCGTGGTGAATGGTTGTGAGCCACCATTGTGGTTAATGGGAATTGAACTCAGGACCTCTGGAATAGCAGATGCCCTACATTAGGTATTGCCTTGAGGTATCCTCTTGTGTCTGCTTGGGTTGATTTGGACCCTCGGACCACAACAAAATATGAATGAATTTCGATCCACTCTTCAGGCTCCTACGACAACACCCACGCGCTGCTCGGACACCGCCAGGAGTGACGCCATTCTTTGCAGGCCCCAGGTTAAATTCAGGCGCCCTGTGACCGGCCCGCCCTCCTGCACAAGGTCCCGCCCCATGAGTGCCCAAACCGAGACACAACTCTGAAATGCATAATCAGTCTCCACCCCTAGGAAGTCCCTACCCGGTTCTTAGCCCGGAAGTCCGCGGGACAGAAGTCCGGAAGTTCGAGAGACGGTTCCCTAGTCCTCTTCCGCTAATTCGGTACGCACCCCTCGGTTCCCGCGCAAGTGTGTGTCCCGAGGCGTTCTGGTTCCCATCGGCTGTGCTTCCCGTTTTCATGTTCGTGCCCTGCGCGGGTCATTGCTTGCGGACCTGGATTGGGCACAGGGCAGGTTGAGCAAACCAGGCGTGTGCACTCCGGAGGAGAAGCGAGAGGAACGGGCCGCTTGTGGAGCTTGTTGGTAACTGAGACCAGAGGGAGGCGAGTTGTGCGGCTAACTAGGATTCTTGAGGATGTAGGTGGGGTACGAAGCTTGATAGCACCCGAGTATCCAAGGAGCCACTCACAACTGGGGTTTGGGGTGTTGTCTCCAGGGGTCTTGGCCACAGCGTCCCATTAATTCGGATGCATTTGGGCCATTGTTAGTATGATAGTAGAAACTTAGACACTGGCACTTTCAGTTCCCCTTCTTGGTAGGAAGAGGTGTTTCTGGAAGACTCAGTTAAGGTGCCGGAAGCCTGAGAGCTGCTGGGGGCTAACAGCATAATTTCAAAACGAGGGTTCAGTCAAGGAAAGAATTCTCAGATGGGACTGTGGTTTGGAAGTGAGACCAGGCCTCACTTTCTGGGCTGTGGAGTCCCTGTGCCCATACATAATTGTGGGCTGAGATGGTCTCATGGAGAAAGGAGTTTAGGGTCTGCTGTGGACTTTCCCCTGGCCGCCTGTAAGAGTGGGTGAGGTGCTGTGTGTCTTTCCCAGCCGAGTCTGCTGTGAAGTGAAGCCCAGGTTCCAGGGATGTACATGCAGGTGGAGACACGAACCAGCACCCGCCTCCATCTGAAGAGGGCTCCAGGCATCCGGTCTTGGTCCCTGCTGGTCGGTAAGGCTTCCCAATGTTTCCCAACTCAAATCTTAAAAGTGATATAAACAGTCTCTTTGTATTTTATTAGAAGTTCTTCTCAATACAAGACCTGATAAAGCATGTTGCATTAACCTTGGTGTGCCTTTCAGAGGACATGCAGGGTCTCCTTGCATGCTGGGCAAGCTCTCCTAACACTGAGATGTATTCCAGCCTATTCAGTGCTCTCTCTCTCTCTCTCTCTCTCTCTCTCTCACTTTTCGAGACAGGGTTTCTCTGCGTAGCATTGGAGCCGGTCCTGGAACTTGCTATGTAGACCAGGCTGGCCTCAAACTCACAGAAATCTGCCTGTCTCTGCCTCTCCAGTGCTGGGATTAAAGGCGAGCGCCACAACCTATCTGCTTTCTTGAGGTCACTAGTTTTTCTTCCATTGACAGGTGATCATGGGTTCACATTTCTCCTTTTCCCTGTTTCCTTCCCCTTCGTTAAGTGTGCTTAGCCTCCTGGACTCTCTCCCCCATCACTGCCTATCAGAAGTCTCTTGCATCTCAGGGACAGCTGCACTTGTGTGGGCTAGGCTGTGCAGAGTTGGAGGTGAGGCACTGGCTGTGGCTTCAGCAGCAGCGTCTCTGTAGTCTGTCCTTATGATTTGTGAAGGTTCTGCATGTTGTGCTCTGTGTTGTATTACAATTCTGTATGTAGTCTTATCTTCATTCCTCATCACATGTGGGCGATACCTACATCTGTCACTTGCATTTTCATTGGGTAGCTGACAAGTCTGGTGAATGCCATGGGTCGCATGTCCTGTTTTTATTTTTTGTGTGTATGTGTATCTATGTATGGGTCTATGCAGGTACATTTAGGTGCCTGTGGAGTCCAAAAGAGCATTAGCTCCTTGGAGCTGAAGCTACACGAGGTTGTGAGTGGCCTGACATGGGTGCAGGCACCAATGTTGTTGGACTTTTCTTTGGGCCTCCAGCTCACAAATAACAAGATGGAAACTTATTGTGAAAGTTTGGCTTTTTGCTTAGGCTTGTCCACAGCTAGCTCTTATAACTTAATCTGCTCATGCTAATCTATATTCTGCCACGTGGCCTTTTTACTCTCCTCCATTCTGCATGTCCTACTTGGTCCTTTGCTGGCGAGTGTCTAGATTCATCCCAAGTTCCTTTCACTACCCAGAAGTCCCGCCTATTCTCTCCTGCCTAGCTATTGGCTATTCAAGATTGTATTAAACATCTTCACACAGTGTGATAAAATATCCTACAACAGTGCTGAGAACTGGGGTCCTCTGCAAAAGTAGTCTATATTCTTAACCAATAAGCTACCTTTCCAGTCCCTTTATTTTTTAACAATTTATTTATTTTATGTATATAAGTATTCTATCTAAATGTTTTCCTGCATGTTGGAAGACAGCATCAGATGCGATTATAGATGGTTGTGAGCTACCATGTGGGTGCTGGGAATTAAACTCAGGACCTCTGAAAGAGCAACCAATGCTCCTAACCACTGAGCCATCTCTCCAGTCCCTTGTCTGTGTCACCAACCCTGCACTAGGTACCCGCTGCCTCTGAACAATCTGTCCTGCCGTGAGACAGGCCTGCTTATTGGGGGCTATAGTTAACAAGATAATCCTTCTCTCTCTACAGGAATATTATCCACTGGCCTGGCTGCTGCCTATTACAGTGGAGGTAAAGTATGCTACCCTCTTCAGTTTCCTTGTACTTGGAAATGGGAACACACACACACACACACACAAGTGAGCAGTCCTGGTGTGTGTGGCCTTTGGAGTGGCCTCTGCCTTGCCTTGAGGGATGACCACAGCCAATGTTTTGCATCTTGAATTTCTTCCTGTTAGAAAGTTGTTTGGCGTTTGCCTGCCGCCATGCCACAGGGAGGAATTATGTGCCCCGTGCTCTATGCCAAGGCTGGATAGATCTACCTATCTCCTAGATGGACTCAGGCAGAGTCTGGGATGCCTATGTCTCCAGCAACCCAGGCAGGCAGAGAAGCACAGTTGACTAAGCCTCTAACCTGCGCTAAAGGAAGGGAAGACTGGGCTGGTAGGACCCCATGGACCTTGGCTCCTTTAGCTAATGGGCTGATGTACGATGTCTGCTTGCAGATAGTCTGGGCTGGAAGCTCTTCTATGTCACAGGCTGCCTGTTTGTAGCTGTACAGAACTTGGAGGACTGGGAGGTAAGATGGCACAGTAGCTCCCTTGCCATTTGGAAGCGTCTGTCCCAGCACTGGGTTACCTGGAGTCAGCCCTTGGCTTTGCTTGTAATACCCCTGGACTCTTCTAGAAGCTACTCATAACTGTTTTCACCAAGGTTCTGTGTTTTTTTTTTTTTTTTTTTGTAGACTTGCCTCAAATTCAAAAGTAAGCCTACTGCCTCAGCCTCTTGACAGGCATGAAGCACCACACTCAACTCACAGAAGTTCCTTTTTCTGGAGTTGTAACAAGTCTGCATAGTCCCTGGGCTGGACTGGCTGCACAGGGCAGGGACCTGTGAGAACATGCAGCTAACTCACATTTGGACCAGCTCCCAGGCTCTGAAGTTCAAGGGTTGAGGGCTTCCTCTGACCATCCAGGACCTCACTGCAGGCCCAAGATAGTTAAAAGGAATCAGCAGAACCTGAGTCTGGGAAAAGTCAGGTTGCCTCTGGGGAAGTCCCCTACCCTTGGCCTTGGCTGGATTTCTGCATTATTGCCAGCCTGTCCTTTTGTTCTTTTATTTACCCGGTACTGAGGGATGAAGTTAGGTCCTCACGTGTGCTGGGCAAGTGTTCTACCACTGAGCAGATACCCAGCCTGGTCTTGGTTTCGTGCAAGGAGAATTCCATCTCCTTTTCTCATGTGCCCCTCACCCACAGGAGTACAAGAGGTCAGACACAGAAGCTGACCCTGGAAGAAAGCCCTGGAGGCTTTGGGGGTTGGGCTTCCAATGGACACCTTGAATCTGTGCTGGTGTGAGTGGGGAGGACGCCTCAGCATCAGCTTGGCCCTCTTCCTGGGGTTCTGTGTGGTCAGCATATATTGGTTTGCAGGAAGCCATTTTCAACAAGAGCACTGGGAAGGTCATCTTAAAGACATTCAGTCTCTACAAGAAGCTGCTGACTCTTCTCAGAGCAGGCCATGACCAAGGTAAGAGTGGGGAGTTGGTCTGGATGGTTCACCTGCTCAGGGAATGATGGGTTCCCGACATATCCTGGCTTACACGTACCCCGCCCTGCATACGGTTGGGTGAGGGCAGTAGGGGTGGGTCACCAGGCGGACCAGCAGGGAGTCATCCTGTTCTTCAGGAACCATTTGGCCTCTCTCAGGTCCGAGTCCTGGACACGATTCCTGTCAGCTATATGAGCCCTGGAGAGGATGTGGTCAGAGGAAACCTCCAGCCCTTGAGCTTCTGGGCTTGTGAGCTAAGCCTATGAAGTAACATAGATTACTTCATAGTAGGTCTCTTCCCTGTGTATTCAGCCCAGCCATTGTGCATCCCACAGGACCCTCAGAGTAGGTGTTTAACACTGGGAGTCAGGCCCCAAGGACCTCAGGCCTCTAACTTATATGGAGTGCTGGCGGTACACAGCCGGATGTGGCATTCAGATGTGGCAGTAAACAGCCAATGGAGGCCAGAGCATTGTGGGGATGTGGGTTAGTGCACTGGCTGAACTTTCCCGGCACATCTGAGCGCCTGTCCTCACAGGCAGCAAGCCACGGGGTCAGCCCCGTGTCACTGTCGCAGTGGGATGAGATAGGTTTCCCAGTGGCTCTGGGGAAAGTAGTATCAGCCATGCATTAGTTAGGTAACGGTTTTCCTGTGCAAGGGAATGGCAGGGCCACCCCACTGGAACCAGATAGGTAAAATCAGGCAAAAAGGGGTAGCATGAAGATGGCAGCTTGGGTTTAGCAATCTCTTCTGTAGGATTTCCCAGGACAGCCAGCTTCTGTCTAACACTGCACGAGTGATGAGTCTCCTGGGTGTGTTCTTATCCAGAAATTTATTCCGGGGCCTGGCAGTGGTGGGAGGCAGAGGCAGGTGGATCTTCTTGAGTTCAAGGCCAGCCTGGTCTACGGAGTGAGTTCCAGGACAGGCTTCAAAGTTACAGAGAAACCCAGTCTAAAAGAAAAATTATTCTGGACCCAGAGTCCAGAATAAGGACTAGCAAACGCCTTTGTCACTGATGTCACTCCTGTTAAGAGCGGGACATCCTGAGGCAGGCTGTCCTATGGCACAGGGGGAGCATATGGACGACTGCCCATCTGTAAATCCTTCCGTCCCCAGTGGTGGTCCTGCTAAGAGACATCCAGGATGTGAATGTGGAGGAGGAGAAGGTCCGTTACTTTGGGAAGGGCTACACTGTGGTGCTCCGGTTCGCGACAGGCTTTTCCCACCCCCTTACTCAGAGTGCAGTCATGGGCCGCCGCAGGTAAGGGTGGTACAGAGTAAGACTGGGCATCCCGTGGTGTTTCCCGGGGCAGCAGGGGAGACGCTGACTGTTTGCAGACAGGAATATGGGGCAGCAGGAGGGATGTGTGTACTTAGGTGCAGCTTTGCTGTGGGCATCTGTAGGGCAGGCAACAAAACAGGGTTGAGGGCTGTGAAGAGTGGGCCGAGGCCAGAGATTCCGACACCTGGGGTTGTTGTAGGTGTATGGTAGGGGATCAGTGTGGGTCTTTGTGGTGTGTTATGGGACTGCATTTTTTCCACGGTGACCTGTGACCTGCTTTCTTGATGCTGGCCTAGTGATGTGGAAGCCATTGCCAAACTCATCACCAGCTTCTTGGAGTTGCACCGCCTGGAGAGCCCCTCAGAACGGTCACAGAGCAGCGACAGTGAAGCCGATGGCCCTGGTGACCAAAGCTGACAGCGTGGAGCAGCTGCTGGTAAATGCCACCCATTTCTGACATGTCTCCAACTGACTTGCCCGTTATGAGGGTGCAGGCAGATCTTGTGTGGACCACCTGCCTTTCGCTTGTTTATGCTTCTACGCTTTGCAGAACCATGGGCTGGACATCTTCCACAACCCAGAAAGGCTGCATCTATCAGGATGCGGGAGATGGGTGCTACATCCAGAGGAGGGCAGCAAATCAGAAATGAGTGCCTTCTCCAGAGACAGACTACAGCTCTGGCTTAGGTCACAGCCTGGTGTGGATAAGCTCACCCAAGGGCATCCAAGGTCAGCACAGGCCTAGTGTTTGCCTTGAAGAGGCCTGCCACCCCAGGCTATGTAGTCAAGGCCCCACACTTCATAGTGAGACTGAGACACCCACATGCATGTCAGGAGGACCCACTCCTGTGCACAGTGGTGCCGACTTGTGCTATAAATCATGTCTCCTCTCCTGGACCAGCCCCCCTCAAGATGGACATTCTTGGTGGTCAGGGGCTTCCCTGAAGGCAGCCTGGCTGCAGAACTCTCAGAGAAGTCGGAGTGCTGCAGACTGCCCCGTTCCTGCCTGGACTGCTGAGAGCCCAGCAGTGTTGGAGCACCACTGTTAGGAACAGAAGGCTCTCCCAACCCAAACTGGGAAGAAGCTGCCAGTGGAGGAAAGGCCACCTCTTCTGGTTTTCTGCAGCCTTTGAGAACTAGGAGCTCCTTTACAGAAACTGAGTCTTAGCCTCCCAAGCCTTGGAAAGACCTGGGGAAGACAGGCACGTGATACATATCCCTACAAAGTGAGGCAGGAAGAAAGTTGAAGGCCAGCCTGGGCACGGCCTCTTCCAACAGAAGCTGTTCCAGCCCCTGATGGCCTTCTATGCTCTTCTAGTTCTCTCTGAGGGACTCAAGTCCCCCACAAGTACAGTGTTCACTAAGTTGCCGGGAAGCGTGGCTTCCAGGCCTGAAAGCTGTGGACCTCTGGTCTACACACAACCCCCAAAGCTGCGTGCCTATGCCTGGCCAGGTAGAACTGGGAAAACGAGGAGTTATAAACAAAGAAGTCAAGGCGGCCACTGTACTGGGCTGGACAGGAATAGTTACGCCAGAACCTTCAACAGGTCTTTTTGAAGTGACTGCTATCAGTTCTGACTTGGGGAATATGGTTGAACATGTCAAAGTAAGCTTTTGTTTTGTTTTACGAGACAGGGTTTCTGTGTTGCCCTGGCTGTCCTGGTACTTGCTCTGTAGACCAGACTGGCTTTGAACTCGCAAAGATCTGCCTGCCTCTGCCTCCCAAGTACTGGGATTAAAGGTGTGTGCCAACATTGCCTGGCAGAATGAGTTTTTTCAATGGTCAAATTGGACAATTTTTTTTCTTCGCAAATGAAGTGCGAAACATAGCCAGTGGGTTCTGACTTGTCACCTACAGGCTCTTAAGGTACTTTAGACAAGGGAGGAGTCTGTCTCTCGGGTGCTGTCCTATCCCTTTCCTCTATTTCCCAGTGCTGGGACTCATTCTTGGGTGAAGGAACGAAGCCCTCTATGAGCCAGGGTGGTGGCAAAAAGCTGATTCAAGTTTCTGTAAGTGGGACTTCTGCTTCTACTGTCTTTTTTTATTTCATAATAAAGCTCTACATGCAAATTGCAAATGAGGCTCCATGTGCCTTTTTCTGGGTTCTGCTTTGCCTAAGGTACTATTTACAGTTTGGGAGCCTGTCTACACAGGTGTCCAGGGTTCAGCAGGAAGATCACAGGCCCCACGTGGCTGGGCACCGAGGCAGGAATCTTGGTGTTGTCCAGGCTGATAAAGAGGACCCCAGCCCCTCAGGGGTTCTGACCCGTGTCCCAGCATGAGCTGGGGGGTGGTAGCAGTGGCAGTGGGGCAGCCGCCTCACCCAGGTCCTGCAGCAGACCCTGCAGTCGCTGCATACTTGGAAGCACGTTCTCCTCCAGCCACTCCTCTATGGTGTCTGGGTAGAAGGCCAGCTGCAGGGCTGCCTCCAGCTGCTGCACAAGGTTGCTCCATCTGCTCAGAAGGCTGCAGGTAACAACAACTGTGAGCTCGACTTGATGAGAATTCCTGCTAAAGCTCAAGTTTACATAACTAAACAATGTCCTCAGCCCCCAGAGCCAGTACTGTTCCATGCCTCAGTTTACCACTGGGACGAAATAAAGGACTGGTTGTATTTTAGCAGTACCATGCCTGGCATGAATGGCTCCTGCTGCTGGCAGCACACTGGACTCAGCACAAGTGTATTACCCTAGCTTAGAGTCCTGAACTAGGAGAGGTTCCAGCCACAGGGTGCTCAGCTAGGTTGCACCAGGGAGTTACAGGGCCACCAGGGACCATATGTGGCCTGATTCCAAAAATGAGTCTTGGGTCCATCTGAGTGGCTGATGATGTGTCTCAGGCCAGGAACCACTTAGCTCCTTGCAATGTTAGGGGCAGTGTTAATGAATTGATAGGCAGCGGTGACCTATCAGTTCATCCAGGATCCACAGCAGCAGTATCTGGGGAACTCTCTTGCCTTAACGCTGATAACCACAACCATGGCTACTGTGGGTATTCATAAAGGGACAGGATATTCCCTGAGCACTTGGGAGGATGATGACGCTGGCTACCTGAGTGCCTCTGGCTGTATGTGCTGGATCATAACCGGGTGAATAAGCTTCCGCCTGCGGTGGTAGGGGCTGAACCAGCCAGTGATATACCTAGAGCAAATCCTGACAGTTAGTGAGCCAGCAGTGGGTACGAGTTAACTCTGGGGAAACTTTAGGAAAACCTTTGTAAAGAACAATGCCGGGAGAAGACGGAGTCGCTTACCTGTTCCTTTCCAGAAGTGTATCCACAGAGCTACGCAGGTGGAGGCTGACTTGTGTGACGAGGGCATGGATGTCACTGCCAGGGAAGGAGCCAGCTCCCTCACTGCCAGAGAGTCACACTGAGATGGGTGTTCCCCAGAGGAGGGAGGGGTGGGGCATGTCAGGTAGGGGATGGGATTACCTCACAGTATCCATTATTTCCAGGCTTGAAACCCCAAGGAAGTGCTCCACTTTCAGCTTAACATCCTCAGCAAAGCCTCCTGAAACCATCCACAGGCAGAAGAGGTCAGAGAGGCCTCCTGACCTTTGGGTGCTATGGGTGAAAAGGCAAAGCAACTCAGGGGACCCCAGCCAGGCTCGCTGGCTGCTTTTTCATTGAGCATGTGAGAGATATTTGTTTAAGATCGGGGTGGAACCCAGAATGGTATGGTAGCAGCATTGTGTGCACGAGCCCGAGGCCTCACTACACACCAAGAATGGTGTGGTAGTGGTACTGTGTGCACAAGCCCTTGGCCTCACTACACACTAAGAATGGTGTGGTGGTAGCGGTAAGTACTGTGTGCATGAGCCCGTGGCCTCACCACACACTAAGAATGGCGTGGTGGTAGCGGTAGGTACTGTGTGCACAAGCCCGTGGCCTCACCACACACTAAGAATGGCGTGGTGGTAGCGGTAGGTACTGTGTGCACAAGCCCGTGGCCTCACCACACACTAAGAATGGCGTGGTGGTAGCGGTAGGTACTGTGTGCACGAGCCCGTGGCCTCACCACACAGTCCACGCGGCAAGTGTCCAGGTCAGTCATGGGCAGAGTGCTCTAGAGCACTGCAAACAAACTGCTGGGTGTGAGACCAAGGCAGACACACCTCCAGATTAGTGCGAGAGGCTGTCAGGAAGCCATTGACAGATAGTTCCTTCTTCGTGTTGGGAGGCCTAGGCCCCAGTACAATCATTCCTCAGAAACAGGAAGAGCTAAAGTCAACACCACTAACACCAATGCCTTTTCAGTACTGGTGAGGGCTGTCTGCTTGTCTTTCTGCACATTCTAGACATTTACAATGAACAACTGACAGAAAAAAAGCGAAAATAAGACCACTTCTACAGCTTTCCTCTACCCCATAGTTGTTAAATGTTTTGGGGAGCTCTCTTGTCCACGTGGCCATCCTTTGAGCATTGTAAATTCCTACACAGTCTTATAATTTAAATGGGCATGGTTTACTTCACCAAGGCCCACTGCCCACACTTGCTCTGAGCAGTGCCCGTGCCTGTCTCCTGCAGTCAGTTGTTTCCTTAGGCCACCTGGGTGTGGGAGCACTGGGAGCAGTCTGCATCGCAGGACACATATACAGCAAAGACACCTTCTGCATCTGCACCTGAAGCATGAATTGCTTACGTAGGTTTTCTAAGTCTGTGGGGCATGTCCGTTCTAACTTCCTATCTACCCGCAGCTCAGGCTAAGGATCTGGGTGTAGGCAATCCCAGACTAGTGGCAGACAAGCAAGTGGACGGACTGTAAACACGAGTCTTTTTCCCCTGAAAAGGACTGCAGTCCAGATGGAGTGGCCAATGAATGGTCAAGGGAAACCAGCACCTGGCCCCCCACTTCCTGTAAGCTAAGGGTAGGCGAGAGACCTAAAACTGTTGGCCGGGACATACCATGCACAAGTGACTGTAGACAGGCAGCCAGAGAAGGGATTCCCACAGGAAGCAGCTCACACAGCACAGAGAAGTGGTCGTACCTACGTCCAGAAGAAGAGTATTCAGCACCACAGCCCTCAATTCATCTTATCATGATGAAGATGCCATGATCTGGGTACTCTTTCTCCTGTTTGAGGGGTTCCAAGGCTGAGACCCACTGTGGGCAGCCTGGTGTATCCCATTACCTGGCTTAGGGTTTTACATTAGGTTTCTTATGATGCCCTAGGGAGGAGCCTGTGTGGGGAAAGAGGCCGTGAGCACTTGGGTCCACTCCACAGTGTCCACTTGAGGTGGAGCATTTGTAGTCTTTATTACCCCTTTTCTGTGGTCTGCATCCTATCTATCGACCTCATGCTTTCCCCTAAGGCCCAGCAGGTCATCTGACCCCTCTGGTGCTAGGCAGAGAACCTTCCGGTCTCAATTTCTTTAGCTGTAAGGGGTAGAGAGATGTTCCTCGAGTGTGACAGGTGAAGGCTGATCAAAGAGCCAGGGACCAGAGATCACATCAGCCCCCTGTTTTCCTTTACCTCTGTGAGTCACTAGCCACTATGCAAGGCATAGAAAGGCTTCACTCTGTGTGAGTCTTGGTTTAACTCACACCCTAGTGCACTCTACTGGAATGGCAAATGTGATAAGTCTTCATGAGCCATCTAGAACTGTTTCTGAAGCCAAGCAGTAGACATGGACTGAAGCCATGAGTAGCTCTTTTTTTTTTTTTTAATATTTTTATTTATTTATTATGTATACAATATCCTGTCTGCCTGTATGCCCGCAGGCCAGCAGAGGGCACCAGACCCCCATCACAGATGACTGTGAGTCCCCATGTGGTTGCTGGGAATTGAACTCAGGACCTTTGGAAGAGCAGGCAATGCTCTTAACCTCTGAGCCATCTCTCCAGCCCCATGAGCAGCTCTTACAAGCACACTAGACAGCCTCACCTGGCTGAGAACTCTGCTCTGTAGTCACATTTTGGAACCTGTGAAGGCTCCATGGGACACCTTTCCAGCTCTTCTAGCAAAATTGCCAGCTTCGACTGGTCCAGCTCAAAGGTTGGAACCTGATGCTAGGATTTGGCCAGAACCAAAGACGGGGTTCATTCTATTTTTCAAAGGGTGTGACATCCTAAAAGAACCAGAACTAATCTTCATGCTGTGCTACGTGAGACATGCGGTATCATTCATGGAACATGGAAACCACAGAGACTAGAGGGCCGCGTGCTTGTGGTTCTGAGCACTTCAGTGTTTCCTCAGCCACGAGGGAATGAAGAGCATGAAGGGCAAGGCCAACATTGACAGGCTGCCATCATGGGTGAGGGGAACTGTTCTCCACACTCAGCCTGACCTTACCTCTGCCAGCCAGTCAGAATGATTCCTTGCAGAGTATCCACTGGCCCACTGACCGCCACCTGGAGCCACTGCTCATGGTTTCTAACGTGGTGCTCAATAGGCGGCAGGGCCTGACTTGCCCCGGTGGCCCCCTTGAAGGCACTGGCAGCCCACAGCCTCTGGAAGCCACACTCCTGGTACTTTCCCATGAGGAAGACTAGATAAGAAAACAAGCCGATGAGCAGCTCTTACAGAGAGAGGCCCTGGATACACAGCCTAACCAGAGCAGCCCAGAGCTGCTACCCTAGCAGAGAAGAGACTCCATTCCCATATGGCCCGTGGTTTATCACTCATTGGGAATAAACTTTTCAGGAAAGAACCTGGTATGATCTGGAGCCAGCAGGGGATCTCATGCCAGCACAGGGGGCTTTGCATGGCCCTTCTGTTCCATGCTGGTCAGCCAAATGAGGAGCCTGTATTCCCAGGCTGAAGGGTTCATGTTACAGGGTCATGGAGGACTAGGAAACAATCATGCAGGCACATGCACCAGGAGCAACCTGTACTGACTTTTGCTGTGGACATCCAGGTCAGCTCCATAGTCCCAGAGCACAGGCTCCACCAGTTGAGGCACCCCAGATGCTGTCAACAGAGCAAGGCCATGAGTGTGGGAAAGACCACTCAGGTCACACCCCTACTCCTTACACGTATCTGTTTTATACAGGGGTCTCACTTTGCTGCCCAGGCTGGCCCTGAAATCCAATCCTCTTGCCTCACCTTCCTAAGTACTGAGATTACAGTC